TGCTCATAATGCCGAAATAATCTATAACCTAAGAAGTTTGGAAATAACTTGGCAAGAATATTACGTTAAAATGCTACGTAATTTTCTTCTTTATTTCATTATGAAAATAAGGTAGAACCTATATACACCATTGTTAAATTTAAAAGAAATAACAAAAAGGATATAAAAAATGGAATATATGAAGAAAAAAAAGATTATTAGAATTATGAAATAGAAAGAACAAGTCTAGTAGAAGGTTAGATGGATTTTAGCTACACAAACTTATATTGTGTAATATAAGATATATTATACTTAAATTATATTAGTTTTCATAATTTTTTAAAATTTAGTAAAAAAAAATAATACGGTTTCATACAAGAATCTATCTAATACAAATAAAAGTCCCAACATTGATTGCGAATATTAATTTGATGGGTTTTTTAAAAAAAAACATTTAATGGCTAAGTGATTTTATTTAGGGTTTAGATGCAATGGTCCAAAACAAATAAATTAGTCGAGGTGGAAAGCAAGGTATATGAGCCCCACGTCACTGCATGAAAGGTACGTGGACGACCACAGCTCAAATTCTTACGACGAGGAGAAAGAAGGCTTGGCCTAAAATCTTATAATAATGGTGGGATATGATTAATTAACCAAACTTATTTACTGTTAAAAATAAATCAAAATTGTAATTGTAAGAATCTCATGAATTAATTTTTAAAAAAAACGAGGAAAAAAATATCACATGATTGAGCATTTTTTCTCTGTCATTTCTTGCGTTTTTTTTGTTTAATTAGATTGTTTTATTTTTAATTTTACTTTCCGTTTTCTCTTCTCTGTTTCTATATTTTCTGTGAAATTGTTTTGCATTTTCTCAAAAAATTTATACCAAAAGTGACTTAAACGATAGAAATAGGAATCCAAGAGAGGAGAAAACGCCCAGAAAACAGAACGAGAGAACTGGCATCCAAAAAGAAACGTTTTTTTTTTCTTTCATAAAAAAAAAATCTTTCCTTTAAACTTTTTTTTTTCCTGGGCATAACCAGAGATTACTTGAAGACCCATCTGATGCTCTCTGGGATTTTTCCGGTACCATTTCTTCCATCTCACGATTATCCCTTTCTCTATGGATCTTTCATCCGTTTAGATCGTCTGGGTCTTATGTTTTTTTTTTCTTTTTGGTTTTAAAATTTTTCTGGAGTTCTGATCCGTTGCTAGACGGATCGGGTTGACCCATTTTAGGTTTCGATTTCAAGTTTGGAAATTTATTCCGTCATCGGATTACTTGGCCTCGATTTCATCCTGGGTCATCCTGTTTCTGTGGTTCTTCATCGGAATCCGCCATTTATGATCAGATTACATTGTAAGAAGGATCGGGTTGACCCGTTGAGGTTTCAATTTCAAGATTGAACATTTAATTCGTCATCGGACTGTTTGGCCCCGATTTCATCCTGGGTCATTTTGCTTCCGTGGTTCTTCACCGGAATGCGCAATTCATGATTAGATTGTTTTGTGATGGATTCAGTGTTTTCGGGTCTTGGCGAATTCCGACCATGGGTTATTGTCTTCCAAATGTTTCACATGAGCATGATCATAGCTTAAATTCTTAACTTTGTGTACTTATCATATCGTTTGCTACACCGTATTTTATTCTCCGGAAGAGATTTTGAAGTTATGTAGCTGTTCATGTGCAGTCACTTAGGAGGAAGAACCTGTCGGCAAAGTTAAGGAATGGTTAGGTTTCCTCCGATGTTGCTGAATCCTTAACGAAGTTTTGTGAGTTGGACCGAAGTGGCAGTTCTTACTTCTTTCTCTGAGCTGATCATTTTGTTACGTTGACTGAGCTAACAATAGATTCTGAAAGTTTCTAGCCCCGAGTTGCTCAAGTAAACTGATGGTGCTTGTCTCATGGGTTTATTGCAAATGTTTCAGTTGTTTACTTGATCAGTGAATCCAGACAACGTTCTTAAGCTTTCAAGTAGTTCTGAAACAAGATGGATATTCCAATATCAATGTTTTTTTTTTGGTGAAGTTTCAGATCTTGCTTGCTTGTGGTAGCTGCCGAAAAAATAATGCTGGTGCTGTGGCGTTCAGAGCCAGAGTTAAGTAGCAGGCCAGCATCGTGAAAATCACAATGGTAATCGAGAAGTATTCAATGGTGTTATTTTTTTTTTTCTGAGTTCTCATCCAGACTTTTCTAATGTATCTTCTTTCTTGATTTCAGGCTTCCTCAAGGGTTTTGTAACTTATCTTCCTGTCCTGACCCGGATTTTCGTTGTGCTCTCATCAAAGGTATGGATCCAACGCAAGGGCCACGACCTACAGCCACTTCTTCTACTGAAGTAAATAATGTGGGCGGACAGCCCATTTCTACTACCAATTCAGAGACCTCTTTGAATAACATGCTGAATCCAGTGGACAGACACCTTCCAAACTACAGTCCACCTTCAGGATGGCCAACTTACATAAGCTCCAGTGCTCATGATTTTCAAAGTCGTAGCTGGTGGAGTTCTGGTGAATCCAGCTCTAGACTGAGACCCTCTCACCAGGCCAATGATGTTGGATTGAAGACAGATCACCAGCTATACTCAGAGGGTATTCGTTTTCATTCTGGCTATGGCCTCCGGGAAGGGGAATCAGGTTCAACAGGTATGACGACACCTGGAGGATTTCAGATTGGCTGTGGTGGCAGTCATGTCGTATCGCCTTTCTCGCAAGGTTCAAGCTCCTATCGTATGTCGCAGACTGTAAATCTGGGTACGGAAATGAACAACCGTGGTAGCGGAGGGCAGAGCTCAGGGGTAGTTTTCCGCCACAATAACTGTGAGAGTTCTTTGGGAAGCTCTAGTCAGGTCGGCGAGGAGAGCAGCAGTGGTCCGGGTTCTTCACTGGCTGGTTGGGGTTCCTCCTGCAAACGAAAGTCTCTTGAAGGAGCTTCAGGGCATTCTTTTCCTTGTGAAGATCCAGGTTGCTTTGTTCATAGAGGTCTCACTCAGTATGATGCTTCAAGTAGCTTGAGTTTGTCTATACCTTCACAAAGTTCTCCAAATATTAGTAATCATTCTGGTCAGTCGGAGCCAAGGTATGGAGCCGGGGGTGGAAGAGGTCGACAGTT